ATTTGGTCCGAGGTGGAGTCACATAAACAGTATACAAGAATTAAGCTAACCAATCGCACAGCAAAGCTATTTGAGGTTAGTAAGAGAATTTTCGATGTGGAAGATATTCCTAGTATAAAGACTTTACTACAGTTCCCAAGGGAACTCAAGGAAAGCAAGCATTGGCAATTATAAGTCAAACTAATTCAAACCACCAAATAGGAATCTACCCTTATTTTAATCAAAACTTCAGTCAGTTTGTTTGGAAAAAGAACATAGTACCTAGGTACATACATCTATATTGAACATAAAAGAAGTTTTTTCCTCACCAGGATCCTGAAATGCTAGCCACTTCGGTTAACAAATGTGTCATGGAAATCTGTCAAAATACAACATACACTACCTTTTCATGGCGTAAAATCAAGGAGAATATATTGAGAATAAGTTTTTTGCCCACCAAGAACCGTAAAAGCCAAATCATTTGAATACATATATGGATTTGTCAAAATATGGACATATACTGACAATTTTTTATTTTAAAAGATTTATTTGAAATTTTTCAGTACATAAATTCTAGAAGTAGTAGACACGATAAATAATGTCATCTTTATTATTTCAACAGACTGGTGGAAGGACGGACATTGTTTAATAGAACATAGAATTAGCATTTGCTCAAGTCGTCAGTAAATATTTCGAGGATATAAAAGAACAAAAGAAAATATATATTTTTTTAATTGAAGTTTCTGCTACTGAAAAACTATTCAAATGTCTTTTGCAGATCTCATGAAAGATCACCATCCTATATATTGAATATCTTAATTTACATCCGACATACTTCCATCTCTGGCATTAAGTATTACATTTCCCAGAAATGACACGATATTATAAAATGCATAAATACCCATTTCAGATGCCGACACACGCACAAACACACAATCACACTGTGCATACATACTTCGTAATTTTGCCTCTGTAGACCTGTAGAGGTAAGACCACAATTTGGAACATACTTCTATTTGGTATGTCTTTGGACTTATAAATACTAATAATTTTGAGGTAAATGGGAAGAGAAGCTCACACAGCAATATCAGCAATACTATCATTGGCAACGCAATCATACAATATGAGCGTGTGTGTGTGTGGGGGCAACCCCCAACAACATAGCTGCACAAATATTTATTATTGTCAGAACATTCCGAAATATCGTTCGAAGCATCAGCCTCCTCATCATCATGATTCGTATGATCATCATGATAATTATCATTGGTCTTGTCGAGCTGTGTGTGTGTTTCGTCATTAATATTATGCCGTGCAGTAGACAACGCCTTTGCTTTAGTTCCCAATTGGTGTGGTATGAACAATGAAATGAACACAGCCGAATGCAGTGGCAACAGCAGCAACAGTGGAGGCAGCCAACATATTCAGCATTTGGTGGCTGACTGGCTAGGCAGACAAACAATCACAAAATCTACAAAATAGGGAATTTATAATTTTCTTGTTCGACATTATATTTTCCCCCTTTGGATACCTAGGCTGACGAATGATTTTAGGGAAAATACCAATGTTTGTCGAACACGGGCGGTGTTCATTTTCAATGGATATAGATTGCAGCTATAATTCAAATGATGGAATTATGATGTGATTTTCATTGTTGGAATGCTGTGTGTTTTCGAAAAAAAAACAACAACAACAAGACCAACGAAAACATTTAGAATTACATTATGACACGTGTTTTGATTTCGCATCTGTTTTATTTCATTCATAAATATGTTATTAATAATGTTTGGCTGTTTGTTTTTCGTTTCCATTATTATTCGAAAATTAATTAACTGCTAAAGAATCAAATGGAAAGGTTGTAGGCGAGGGGATCGGGTAACAAACGTAGTAAAAGTTTGCTAATGAGTCTCTAAGAATAAAGTGTAAGAAAACAATACCATTTGAATAGGTTTTTATACATTTAATGTATTTTATTACGTCTTTTGTTTTTGTACCAATTTTTTACGGTAGCCCCCATATAGCGGTACCCCAAAATTATGTATTTTATTTTTTTAATTAATCAGCTAGATATTAGGTATTTCTCAATACTCGGCATTCTTGACTCCATAATGTACGCTGTGCAAAGTTCTATCGCTATCGGAGAAATATTTAATGTCTTTAGTGCAACATTTACATTAAATCGGTCGAAAATGTGTATTTGATCTATATCTAAAGCTGAACCGATTTCAATAAAACTCAACACACCTCACTTTGGACTCAATTTGGTACGCTGTACAAATTTTAGCCTCAGTCAGAAGATATATAGAAATATTAGGAATGTGACCACCAATACTCTTACTGGACAATATCCTTTTCATAATTTTTTCCGAAACAAATTGAACAGTTTGTACCATATTTGCTCGAATTCTATGAGGTCTTTAATCGATGCTGGGCTAATGGCAGCAACATTATAGTTTACGTGATATTAAATCAGAATTTTTTGGGTCAAGCTCTGATTACTTCAGTCATGTTTTTGTTACTTGATTGATACATAGAGTGGATTTATTGTAAGTAAACATTGTCGGGATCAATACCATCCAACTGCGACCATTAAAAACATAAATAATCACACCATTTACCTTAACTGTTGCCATTTTCGAAAAAGTAAAGTCCAATGACTCCACCGGACCATAAACCGCCACAGAGAAGCTTCTCACCCATATGTCTTGGGTTTTCCGATTTTTCGATGGAATTCCGTATAATTTTCATGCATTTACAAGTAGAAACCAGTAAGGAAAGTTCAAAAGTCGGACGGGGCCGACTATATGATACCCTTCACCACGTTGGGTATATTCAACAGATGAATCCTAACAGACTTCGCATTTTTAAAGGACCAGTGAAATGAAATTGGATCCATAAACATGTCATTCTGCAACCAATACTAAATTTTCCATTTGGTCAGATATATTTTTCATTTGGTCAGCTATATCTAAATCTGAACCGATTTCATTCAAGATTTCATTCATTACGCTGTGCCAAATTCCGTGCAAATCGAAAGATATATAGGGACTTTGGTACACCATTTACATTAAATCGGACGAAAATATATGAGATCTATATCTAAATCTGGACCGATTCTCAGGAAACTTAACACACATCATTCTAGACCTAATTCATTGTGCTATGCGAAATTTCGTGCAAATTGAAAGATATATGGGGACTTTGGTACACCATTTTCATTAAATCGGACGGAAATATATATGTGAGCTATATCTAAATATGAATCGATTTTCACGAAACTTAGCACACATAATTCTGGACCTTATTCAGTACTCCATGCCAAATTTCGTGCAAATCTAAAGATATATAGAGACTTTGGTGCACCATTTTTCCTTAAATCGGACGAAACTATATATGGGAGCTATATCTAAATCTGAACCGATTTTCTCGAAAATTGGCACACATTATTATGGAACTAATTCAGTACGCTATGCCAAATTTCATGGACAGACAGACGGACAGAGGGACGGACATGCATAAATCGTCTTAAAAAGTGATTCTATGCATATTCTCAAAAGGAACCATGTGTCTATCTCGTTTCCTTTTGCCTGTTACAAACATATGCATAAAGACATAATACCATGTACCACAGTGTGGTGAAGGGCATAAAAATGTCAGTCGACGTTGCCGACAGATGTATTGTCCCAGTCTATGGTTTGCAGAGATCTATGGAATTACTACACACTGGTGTTATTATTCGCTTTATAAAAGGTATATATTTTTATCCAATAGTTAATAATTTGTGGACAGGATTTTGCCCAAACAAACATTTTTTTCGAAGAGGAACATTTTTACCGTAGTGTATATAACCTTATTAGCTGTACATTAGGGATATACAAATACCCTATCCTGTTGATAATCGGTCAGGTTGGGTTCTTGTGTTGACTGAGCGGTATAAGCTTTATGAAAAGTATTGTATACTGAAATTTGTGGAATGACAAACGAGGAATGGGTAAACTTAGGTTATAGCCCAGACTATAGCAGCAATATTCCGCGTTTTTCTTCAGCGACATGAACGTGTGGACAACAAATTTACGCCAACCTTACCTTCAAATTCAAGTAAATGGTGGTCGATTACATAGCATATTAAATAGAGTCTATAATATCGGGATGCTGGTATTCCTTAAATCAATTTAGATTTTGATTGAGTCTAGAATAAATGTGTCTTTAAAACGCTTCGGATTTAGATATAGCTCCTATATATTTTAGACCGATTTAATGAAAATTATAAACCAAAGCTTCCACATTCAAGAAATATCTTCGGTTATGGAGATATTGTTGATCAAAGAGAAACGGTGAATTTCCGTTATAATTCTATTAGCTAAGAATGTGTAGCGCGGTCGCACAGAGGTAATGTAAGTAAATGAATTGAATTTGGAAGAATATCATTCAATGTTTAATAAGTGCGTAATTCTCTTTCGTGGGCAATGTTAATATTTTCGTTTCGTTATAAACATAATTTTGAGGAATACTTTCCCAGTAATATCGCTTCGCCACGCTTTTAATTTCATTCCGATATGACCATTTTTACAGAAGTTGCATCATTCCGAAATATCAGCAATATTAAACCAAAGTTTTTTAAAATAATTATGCCTACGACTGTACATGCACCCATCGTCATTAGTCGCTTTAAGTCTATTTTACCTTTTCATTCCATAACATCATTACAAATTAACTTTATTTCACCTTTCGTAAATTGTTCCCTTTCCTCTGTAATTTGATAATACCTACATGGTGTTATTTTGTCATCAAATCAAATTAATTCCCAATTTGAGTTTCATTTTGCGAATTGTTCAATTACATTCTACAACACGGTGACTTCTCATCTATCCTGCAAACTGATTTGATGTTCTGATGATGTTCTTACAAATTGTTTGAGAAATGCTTTTCTCTCGTTTGTTGCTTTCAATAGAAAATAAAATCCACTTTTCCAGTACCTGGTGACTATAGTCAACGTGTTTCGAGGGAGGTGGATATGATATTACTCTGTCTGATGATAGATGACAACGTTGACATTTTTAATACAAAACGTGCTGAAAAATTTTGTAGAACGAAAATAGCTTTGCCGCGGCAATTTATTTGCTAGGTTTATCATATCAATCGATAGTTGTCTTTCCACCGTAAATACTACCAGAGTATGTTGGGTTGGCAAATGGTGGAAAACTACCGGGCAAAATGTTAGTCTATTATTGTTATGCGTCCTGTGTGCCTGTCCCACCCTCTCAATCTCAATCTAACAGACAAAGAAGTAGCAGCAGTGGAGAATGTAAAGTGTCAGTACTTACCTTGCCAAATATCGTTAAACCTCCATGTTTAACGTTGAACGTTGGTGCATCCGCATAACTGGAATCCGCCCATGGTGTGTGACACGTCGATGTCAGTGTCATATAACGTACGCCAATGGCATATAAAGTCCTCAGCACAGCCAATGAACCGCCCAACGAATGTCCACCTTCAACGCCTGTCAGCGAACAAAGCTGATGGTTCTTGTGGGCTTCTATGATTTCTGTAACAAAAATGGAAACATGGAAAACATGAAATGGACTGCCATAGAATGGAGTAGTTGAGTGGTTTAGAAAAGTAAAATCCAGGAAATTGAGTTTTGTTGTTTCGAATATGGGCAGATAGAGAATGACAACGGCCGAATGACTGTGGTGTCGATGGAAATGCTGATAGTGTTGTTACATGTCCAAAGAAAGTAGAGTTTGGAAGATGTTGATAAAAATTTAATCAATAGGATAACGTATATGTAGCGGATTTTCTTCCCAATGTATATATCTATATACATATATCGACGCCTCCGAACCATAGTATGCTAAGTCGACTTAGCATGTTTTAAAGTTCTTTACGTTTTTAGATACCACGGTCCTTAATTTATATTCTCTGAAATTTTGGTAATCGTCGGCCAATCCAAACCAAAGTTATAAGCAAAAATGTACTTAGCATGACCCGTAAGATATATGAAACTTCCATACTATGAGAGCTTCTACTGAAAAACTCACTTTTCACACTTAGCATGCTATGGTTCGGAGGCGTCGATATATGCGTACATATATATTATGGGCAAAATGTATATTTTATCGGACAACCGCAGTCTCAATTAATGCATCAGTTATAAATGAGAACTATCAGGCATGTCACAGATTCCGATCGGAATGTTTTTAATTCCATAATTCCATTTCGATCGTTTTTAACCTTTTTTAGATTCCGATCGATTTGATGAATGCATGAAATTGAAAGTGGAATTAATTCCGTATTTACTTTTGTTTTCAGAAAACGAAATATGATTTTCTTCGGAATGAAACCACTTGTGGTTTTGTAAACGGAATTGAAGAAAATGTGACGTTTATATGAAGGCTAAAAAACGCTTATTTTCGACCAAAAACCAAGCTGGAAAATAAGGAAGATCTTCACGGATTAGATTTTTTCTAGTTCATACGATAGCTCTGTAGATCCGTAATAAAATGTTAAAATTTAGAACCGATTGGAACCGATTAGAACAGTTTTTCAGCTATTGTGCCCGCCACTGTTCCGACAAAACGTCGTTTAACGTTTGAGAAGCAGTTCTGCCGTAGCTAGATGCTGATACCAGTCAGCGGCTATAACTTCAATAATAGATAAGATTTTAACTTGAAATGTTGATGATACATTCATGAAAAGTTTTAGGTTCATATTGAATAAAAAAATCGATGGTTAGAAACCGACAATGAATGAGGGTCCCCTTAAATGTTTTCTAAATTGTCATAGAGTTTTATTCTGAATGACATGTGTGATGGGGTCTCCGACGAATATTTCGAGGTGTTGCAATTAAATGACAAATTTAATACAAACTCCACCTTATGGTAAGGGGTATACAAAATTACAGGATCTACAGAAAATTCCCAATATATCAAAAAAGCATCGTTTCATAACTTACGTACATTAGCAAAGTTTGGATTTTCCACTTTATAGATACAAAGAAATAAAATTTGTCTCAAATAATTAAAAATTTACAAAGTGTAGGGTTTTAAAATTGTCGTCTGTGCCAAACCATAACATATTCTCACAGAGTTTGTAAATATTTGTTTTGTAGGTTGTTCATAACTTTATATATTTGTTTTTTTTTCTGCTCTAGTTTCAGAACAATTGTTTTTCTACTTCTCTTTATTTCCATTTGCATTCCCCTCCTCAAATGTTGTTCGTTCGGTTTTTTGTTTATGGTTAATGGTGTGTGCATCAATTTTTGATTTATTTTTAGTTTTCTACATTTTATCATTGGAATTTGGTTTTTGTGGAGTGGAGGTCGGTAGTTTTGCAAAAGATATGAAAAAGCAATAAAAATGGCTTTGTTTTAGATTCGCATTTCTAGGGCAATTGAAAATAAATATATGTATGGAGAATAACAATATAACTTTAATTTAAAGATATTTGAAATACAAGAATGAATTTGAATTTGAAGATGAAAATCAAAATTTAGTGTCACAAAATTTCATCTGAACAATTGGTGAAAATCAAAACTAAAATTTCTTTTTACACATAACATTTAGATTAAAAAAATCTAAGTTTTTTCTTTACATAATTAAAAGATTTAATACCCAACTTATATACTACCTATTTATTTCGTACTCCAACATATAAATCCAAAATATTAAACTTCCCAAAAAGTTTATAATGCTGCATCTTAAAGTAATAAAATGTGAACGAAAAATTCAAATAATTCCATTTCGAAATTCCTTCATGTGTACATTGTCTTATTGTCATATTTGATTTGAAAAATACCAATGATTTGAATTTGCATTTGTTATTCTCTTATTTGTTGTTTTTGTTATTTTGCATTCCTTAAAAACTAAATTTCATCTCTCGCCCTCATCTTCACTCATGTTGAAACAATGAAATTTCCACATGTTTGACTTCGTTATGCTTCGTCTGGTAAATGCATCAAGGAATTGAGTTTTGTTTTCGAAAACGATTCTTTCGATTCGATGTCAATCGAACTTCAAATGCTAAATGTTAACGAAATTGAATGTGTGAAGATAAGAGCAAAACCAATGATGTGTTATGGAAAGTAGTTGTTAAAGAGCATCTATATTTCCTGATTTATCTTTTACGTAAAAGGAATTATTACCGAGAATAATAGATGGTCTTTAGAAATTTTATCTTTACATGTGTCCTTATCTGTTGATTTGTTCAAAAGTCATTACAATGAACGTAAATTATAGCAATTTTTGGGAAAATCGATATACATCGATATATAGAAAGTGTGTTGTTTGATTTTAAGTTGATTTCATTAAAAAACTATTACTATATAGAATTTGATTTAGAACGGAATAATATTACACTTATTATGTCTGTTTTAAAGTGCTTTGATATTTTGAACTGGCCTTTCTAATATTCCTATGAGGGTTGGTATTGTAAATGGGGTATAGCCCCCCATATAACGGTAACTCCAAATACTCGGTATTATGGGAATTTTTGAAACGTTTTTCAACCTACATGGCTGTAAATAGCTACGTTTGGTTCTCATTGGTTATCAAATCTTCATACTGAAAATGATCAATATTGGTCCAGTTCTTAGGATATCCCCCATATAACGGTACCCCCAATTTTTAGTATTTTGGAAATTTTAGATTTGTTTTTCAACAGAATCAGCTGTAAATTCGTATTTTGGAATCATTTCGACATCAGATCTGCATATGAAAAATTATCATTGTTGGCCTTTGCCCTATATAGCCCCAAATATTCGGTATTTTAGTGGTTGTAATTTGTTCTTTTGGGTTGCGTTATGGTGATATTTATCTATGTTGGTCAAGCTATAACGCTACAGATTGAACATTTTTGAGTAGAAAATGACTCTAAAAAAATTATCAACATTGGCTCATGTTACCGGGTGGCCCCACATATATTGGTATCCCCCATACTTCGATATTTTGGGGTTTATGGGCACCGTTTTTAACCGACTTGGTTCTAATTTGATTTTTCTGGTTAGGGAATCCCCCATATAACGCTCTATAATTTGGGGAGCTTGGAGACGTGATTTAACAAAATTAGCTGTAATTTTATATTCTCATTGAATAGAAAATTTCCCTAAAAAATATTTTCAAGTATATATATATATATTTTCCACATAATTGTTCATTGTTATTTTTTGGTTTCTCCACCAAGTTCCTTCTAATCTGATTTTTCAAATTCTTATGGGGAATCAAATCTTCCTACAAAATATTATCCATGTCATTTTACGTTTTGGTATAATTACCATAGAATGGCACCGCATTTTCTCACCGATGTGGCCGTAATTTGTTATAAAGATATATATGCAAAGCCTCCCTATCACCTCCGACGTATAATACATACGTCAGAAAAGTCAAAAACCCATCCAAAACGAGTAGGTTTTTGAAAAACAGCTATTTCTATTAATCAATTGGGAAATTACGTATGCTTTACTCAAATCTATATCAAATTTCAAAATTTTCTTTTCCAAAAAGTTTAGTGTTTTATCAATTCTAGTAGGCAATAGTCAGATATATGTGAAAATAATATATATTCTTGAAAATAACTGTATATGTTAATAACATTCAAATAAATGACATTTACTACATTTTATACAGATATATGACATTTTCGACGTTTATGCCTTTTTGACCATCGAAAACTTAATTCGAAAACCTAAAAATTCGTCACACGGACCATCCCTGCTCCGTGTAAAGTTTTTGCTTGATTTCGCCATTGGAGGGTAAAACAAATTTTTAAATAGAAAGCTTACAACTCAATACTGTATCTTTCAATTTTCAAATGTATATGACTGTTTCGAACTGTTTCCATATACATCGTATTCTCCAAGCGACTATTTAAACATCCTTTACTTGAAATATTTTTTGGTTGAATGAAAATGTGTTAGCCAAACCTGAGAAAAATGGATGAACTTGCTTCGAAATTTTTTCGTATCCACTGTATTCTTCAGATCTGCCCTCACCTATCCGAAAACTTCTACTAAACTTCTGAGAAAACGAAGACTGAAACGCACAAAAACGAAGGTTATAATTGAGCCACAGATGCTGTACGTGAACAGATAACACAAAGTCGCCATTAGGCATACCGTGAGATAGAGGCATCCTTGGAAATTTCTTCCAAAAAATTCGGTCGATATTGCATAGACACCTGACGTAAACAAGGTTTGTTCTCATCGGATCCCGCAAAATTTGACATTGGCCCAAAAAAGGTCCCGATCCAATAAGATCGCAGTGCATCATATGACTTTTTATGATCGTATGCGCATTAGCCCAAATCTAACCTGCAACCCACATTATAAGCCTTCGAAGACGAACCAAATTTAGCGAAATTGGCTGAAATATATAAAGTAGCCCTCGTGTATAGGGGTTTCCCAATAATTCCTGTTGAGAGCATAGGGTTTCCACAAAGCATTACCATCATACTCGCTTAATTGTTTCCAAATAGGGGACCCCACCATTCTCGTGGTCAAATTTTTTTTTTTGATTTAATTCGAATCTACACTAATTCAAGAATGTCCCT